CAAGTTCCTTTCCGCGCAAAAGTGTGGTTTTGGGGGTCTTTTTTTTTTTTCCCCTTTCCCCTCCATTCTTTTGTGTGTGGCCACCCCCGAGAACCTCGTCTTCCCTTTCCCGGGAGTTTGGGCACTGAGCTTCCTCGTGCGAAGCAACCCTATGAGCAGGTTAAGTCTGGCTTCTTCCTCTCAAAGAAGTGAAGACCAAGTGTACGTGAACGTTAAGGCATAGCGAGCTGAAACTTAAAACGTCTTTTATCTTGAGCGGTTGATGTGTGCAGCCCCCAAACTTCCGATGCTCTGTGAAGCTGCTCCTTCAGACTGGTGCTGTCTGGCAGCGTTCTCTGAGCTTCGAGGTTCCTCTGCCCTCTGAGCTTCGAGGTTCCTCTGCCCATCTTGTCCTGACGGCGCAAGGGTAGTACAAGTGACTCCAGGTTGTGCTGACATGACTAACGCAAAATCTACAAAGTGTAGGCTGGCTAGCTGCGTGCCTTTTTTTAAAAATAAATAAATAAAAATAAAAAGCCGAAAGAGTACACTGCTTCTTTCAGCTGAAAGATGCTTAGGTATGATAAACATCTGTTGTGGTACTGGAAGTTTGGGCAGAAGGGATTGCAGGCTTTTACCTTTACTGCTGAGAGGAAACTTACTGAACAAATGGTTCAGTAGATGGGAATGTTTCCGTAGTGGTCGTTGACCACGGTTTAGAGTCCTGCTGGGTCTGACTTGGCATGCGACTGAAAGCATGCTAGCTTGGCTTGCTGACATACAAAAATAGTTTTGTTTCGGTCTGAACCTTTTTTTTTTTTTTTTTTTGGTTTTAACCTTTTTTTTTTTTTTTTTTTTTTTTGCGTAGAGCTGAAACTTGGTAAAAAAGTTAATGAAGGTAAAACAAAAGAAGTGTACGAGTTGCCAGAGATCCCAGGATGTGTTTTGATGCAGTCAAAAGACCAAATAACAGCGGGAAATGCAGCCAGGAAGGACCGTATGGAAGGGAAGGCTGCAATTTCCAATACAACAACTAGCTGTGTGTTTCAGTTACTTCAAGAAGCTGGTGAGTGTTTTAAAGGTAAAATAAATGCCTGTATGTTGCAGAGGCTCTTAAACCGTATTGCCTGGAGAACCTTTTTTTCACTTTATTTTCTGTTGGGGTTTTTTTTCCTTTGATACTAATAAGTTGAATGACTTAGTCATTTGAAGCACGAGAGTGTCTGAAGCAATCTTTAATCACGGATAACACTACTATAGTTTGTCCTGCATGTTTGGTCATGGCCCTACTCCTCCCCTCTGCTCATGTCAATCTGTTTTTTATTGGGTATAATAACAGACTGGATGCATCTCATCTTTCTTATAACATCTGTCTGCTTAGAAGCCACTGCTAGCTAGTAGTAGTTAAATAGACTATATCTAAAAGTTGCTCATGAGTGAGTTCTGCACCACACTTCCAAAAATGGAGTCAGTATCTTCACTTTAAGGAAAGCATTTTGAAGTGTCTTTTAACTGAGAATTTAATATCTACCTCTCTTCTAGATATATTTTATTTTTTCTTTTACAGGAAAAATAAAATAGGTCTTTAGGTCACTGCTTTTGGGTGTGTGTGGGGGGGGGGGTTAATAGTCACAAGAAAATAGTATGCAAGTTGTAAAGAGGAATTTGAACTGGTGAGTTCCCAACTTGATTCTACAAACAGTACTCTAATACAGGCAACAATAGACTCTGTGTAAGATGGTGTTCATAGCTGTACGCTCAGTTCCTTTTGAAGCGTCTGAGTGAAGACTGCTTCATGTTGAGTACCAATTAGCCTAAATGTAGTATTATATAATAAAAGTGTAGTAATAGATAGCAGATGCTCAAGCACTGAAGTTCTAGCATGTTTCATATGTGGGGAAGAGAAAAATGTTTTTCCCTAGAGTTCTATCTAGCTATATTTCTATGCAAGTAGTTCTTAAAATATGTGCTGAGATTGAAGATTATATTGAGTGACTTAATTGTATCTTTCTCCTTCCCCACTAGTCCATTTGGGAAATATTTCAATCACTAGGCTTTCCTGGAAAGCCTGTTTTGCATATAGTACAAAGAAATCTCCAAGATCTTTGGTGATAGTATTTACAGTTGATCTTTTTTTAAAAAAAAAAAAGGGGGGGGCGGGGGAGACTTTCATTTTGGAGTGATGAATAAGATGTGTTGCCTGACTTTTTTTTTAAGATGGCTTTATTTTATTAAGTTAACATTTAAAATATTAAATATCTGACAGTTTAAGTGTGAATTTTAAATGCTAAGAAGTCATGCTGTAGACATCTCAAAGATCTTTAAATGGCTTTTGCTGATTAACTTTAGGTGCTGTGGAAAATTCTCCGCAAAATAAATTGCAGCGGCATTTTAAAACAACAAAAGGACTTTCAGGGTTTTTTCTCCAGTTTTGTTATTTGACTAGCATAAATTGCAGATAACGCTAATGCCGTATTGTAGAAGTAGTTTGTTTGCTTTGCGCAACTCCTCTTAACCTATTTTTTCAAAGGTGATGATTTACAAAGAGTTCTGTTAAAGTTTCTCCCTTGTTTGTAATGGAGCTGATGTCAGCGCTTCTAAAGCACACATCTGTGCTGATTAAAAATTTAGTAATAAACCAGGCAGGGGGTTTGGTGACCAGATTTAGAAGTGACTTGACATACATTTGATAGTTTAAATTTTGTCCTCTGGGGCAGTGCAATTAGGTATAAAAAGTCAATGTGTATTTTAACACTGTGTTTTAAGTGTTTTACTTGTTCTACTTCCTTTATGTCCCTGGAAGTAGAGTGGAATATAGCTACTTCTTAAATGGACTGGCTGCAACTCCTTTGGCCTCTGTCTCTGGCAAATGCCAATTGGGCTTGACAGTTGTCTTGCCCTGAGGGGGAAAAAGTGAGACTTCTCTTACTTTGCTAGTTGGGAGGAAAAGAGTCATATTGGACTTACAGTGGCAATCGGCTCATGTTGATTGTAACAGTGTTTAGTATGGGGTCATCTTAGAATTATATAATACTGTTGCTTTGCAGCAAGTTTGCGTGTGCACATATACCTCCTCCAAGTTTTAATGTCTCTTGCCAAATAAATCACTGGGATCTAAAGTCCTAAACAAATGTTAGTTAGTAAAGAAAGGAAGGACTAAGGTGTCTTCTCCTGCCCTGTTCCCCTTTATAAACAAAGTAGTAAGGACTATCATGCTCCTGTATTTTGCTCCCTTTCAGTAATTCCTCTGACAGTCTCCAATTACTGTTCAGTGTGTGATGTTACAGTCAATAGCTCTTCCACTAGAGAGTGTGGTGAGGTACCTGGTTGCCGCTGTTAATTATTATTGTTATTTAAAAAGAAGCTATTATGAGGGATTAACTTTTTAAAGGCTTTATGAACTTTATGAATTTTGGATCTCTTGTTGCTGGAGATGTCAATGCAGCAGTGACTTCTGAGCTTTGATAAGTCTGTATGCAGTCGAAAATATGTCAAGAATTCAAATCCCTGTCACTTTCCTTCTGTAAACTCAGTACCTGAGCAGCTATTCCTAGTCAGCTGTGGGCAGGAGGAGTCTTCTAGCTGCTCAGACAGAGTGTATTTGCTGACCAGATTTTCTCCATCTTTGCTAAGAAAAGAATAGCTTGTGAGCAGGGCAAGAAAACAGGCCAGAAAAATTTGCTGTTACAAAGTGGCTTATTGTGATTAGAACTTGGAAGTCCACTGAAGCTGTGGTCAGATGCTCTCTTCTGGTTACAGCTCAGCCTGATGGAAAGGCTTCTATTACTTATATTGATCGGCATGAGTTGTGCATAACTTGGTTATGTTGGTATCTGGCCTGGCTTAAACATATCTGAAAGGAAAGATTCTTTACTTTGATCAGGCTTTTCCAAGTTTTTTTAGACTTAGCATCTATTAAATGACAAATGTCTCTGCACGTATGAGAGGATGGAAATTCTTTGGATGAGACCTCTTAATCTGGTTGAATTTAGATACTGCAAGAATAAGATGTCTGACCAGAACATAAGTTTCTGAGTTACATGTGAGTCTTAAAATATAGAATTCCTGAAGCTGATGACTTGTGAAAGATAACGGCCATGATGTCCTTTTACAAGAGAAAAGTAAAGAAATTCCCTCTCCTTTCTGGGAGCTTTAATTGCCTGAAGAGGTCTGGACTTAAGGGATACCCAGGACAAGAACAAGATCTGATTTTGTTCTACATGTAGTTAGACAAACGTGTTTTTTGCCTCGCTTCAACCGTGGCATGTGCATAGTAGAACAACAAAGTTGTCCTCTTTCTATTTAGGAATCAAAACAGCTTTTGTCAGAAAACACAGTGACACAGCATTCATAGCGGCTCACTGTGAAATGATCCCAATTGAATGGGTGTGCAGAAGAATTGCTACTGGATCCTTCCTCAAAAGAAACCCTGGTGTCAAAGAAGGATATAAGTTTTATCCACCGAAAGTTGAGATGTTTTATAAGGTAAGTTTCCTTTCCCGTGACAAACTTAAACAGAGCCAGAACTCTGCGGTATCTCTTTAAAAATGCTGACAAGTAAAGCAGGAAGTACCAGAGGCTGACATATCCTCTTGGTGTTGGTAGTTTTGCTATCCTAACATTTTATTGTGTTCTTTTCTAACAGCCATCTCTTTCAAAATGGGTACAGCTGACTCACAGGGCCACCAAAGAATAATGAGCCAAACTGTACATAAAGTAGATAACTCATCGTTGATTATCAGAAAAATAATGCTTTACTTTTAAAGTATAGGGGCTTCTCAGAGGTATATTCTCAACTGAAGTGGACATGTTGGTATATCTGAAGAACTTAAAGGGTACTTGCAAGCTGACTCTAAGTGGATAGCTAATGACTTCAAACTCTGTACTTCAGAAATGTGCATTGAAAGTATATTGTAAACTATGATCTAAAAAGTGGTTTTGTGGTGGACTCTGTCAATCCTGATGTGCTATCCAAACTTGAAGTGCTTTTAAAGGTGTTTAGGTGTTACAGGAAGTGTTCTAATGTTGCTGTTACTAAAATCTTATAGTGCTAATAATTATACCAATTTGAAGCCTATATCTGTAGGGTGTGTTGTTTTTTTGTTGCTGTTTTGTTTTTTTTTTTAATCCAATATGGTCTTCTAATGGTTATTTTCCCCCATATAGCAAGTTTAAACTCTATGCCATTATCTCTTCTATTTTCTTAACAGGATGATGCCAACAACGACCCACAGTGGTCTGAGGAACAGCTAATTGAGGCCAAGTTCTGTTTTGCTGGACTTGCTATTGGCCAGACTGAAGTGGATATTATGGCACACTCTACTCAAGCTATTTTTGAGATCTTGGAAAAATCATGGCAGCCCCAGAACTGCACTCTGGTAGACCTGAAGGTATGAAGAAAATATAATTCCTCATGATACTAGTTCTGATGGGACATATCTGTTACTGTACAGTTCCTAAAATAGACTTTTTTTTTAGATAGAGTTCGGGGTTAATATTTTAACAAAAGAAATCGTTCTTGCCGATGTTATCGATAACGATTCATGGAGGCTGTGGCCATCAGGGGACAGAAGCCAGCAAAAGGACAAACAGGTATTGCTTTTAATCTTCTGAGTTGGCTGGAAAGAAGGAAAAAAGTAAACCCTACTGCTAAGCATCTGCTTTTAGAGTAGCTTTTTTCTAGATGGTCTTAACTTTCTACAGTGTAGCCCATAAGGTACTTAGTGTCCAATCTTGTTCCCATTAAGTAGTTGGGAAATCCTGATTGTTTGTCTAGCAGAAGATAATCCTGTGCCTATATTTTTAACAGGAGTGCCCAGCAACAGTATTGCCTGGAACTACTGTGATGGACTGAAGTGCAGAACTTGCAGAGATATTAAGAATATCCTGCTTGGTGTGCAGATAATAAAATGATTGGACAGTAAATAGATAGCAAGAACAGAAGCAGCTCTGGTTCCCAGGTCTGTCTTGGAGCTGCTTCATGTATTCAGAGTTCTGTCTGCTACTAATAGAGATCTGCTGATACATGAGTACTTCTGAGGGATCTGTAGGGGGGGTTGCTTTTCTTTGTTACTTATTGAGGGTAGGCTTAAATCCAATATTTGTGGACCCAGTCTGTTAGCAACACTTACAGACAAACAAATAAGAGAAATGCAAGGTTTGAAGCAAAACTTGTCCTATTTTTTTAGACTTGTAGCTGTTATGCTTATTTAGGGAACAGATGTTTGTCAAATAGTTATGGAAAAAAACAATTTGGGAATGCTGCTGCCATGGAGCTTTTGTGACTGTCATTGAGCCTAATAACAGAGAGCCTGTGAGCAAGTGGCTGCAAGCCCCAAGGGAAAAGTGAGGGGGGAAATTTATTTTTATCATTAAACTTAAATTAGAAAGCAGTACTGCTTGAGAGTATTGCTTACTCTACCTGAATTGCATAATAGCATGCTTGAGCAAGCTGCTGTGATTCTGCTATGTTCATCTCCCTAAAATAAGGTACATGATCAGGTCATGCAGAATCTAGGTCAGCCAGTGCAGTGCTACTGCAGGCAATGATATTACAAATTTCAGTTTTAAATTAGTTGCACGGTTTCCTTAAATCTATCTTTCGGGAAGCTGTCAAAACCTTGATATGCTAGTGGCTAGGAGCCTTCCATGTTACAAATGGCCATATAGTATAGTGTAGAAGGTTGCATACACCTGCTGAGAAGGCTTTTCATTAAATAGCTCTTGCTCACTTTTCTTTCTCTACGTACAAAGAAGGTAATCACTTCCTCTTTTCAGCCCTTTTTTGTTAGGATAAAAACTTAGTTGTTTAGCTGTTTACACTTTCCTCTTCTGTAAAGAGAACAGCTCATCCAGAAGCTTTTTCCTACATGTGTATCTCAATTATCCTTCCTGAGGAATTACTAGAAACTGCCTAAAAATTCCAGCTGAGGTTTTCTTATCAATTATGGTAGCAAAATGAGCGCTTTGTGTACCTAAAGCAAAATATTAGCTTTAGTATTTTTTTTTCTTTCCAGTCTTACCGGGACCTAAAAGAAGTTACTCCTGAAGCACTGCAGATGGTTAAGAGAAACTTTGAATGGGTTGCAGAAAGAGTGGAGGTATCTGTGTGTATGAACAAACTATCTAGACTTTGATAACTATATGTCTTGAAGTCCTGCTGACTGCTTTTCTTTCCCCCCTCTCCACTCTTCTACTCAGTTGCTTCTGAAAACAAAGAGCCAAGGTAGAGTTGTGGTGTTGATGGGATCTCCTTCAGACCTCAGTCACTGTGAAAAAATAAAAAAGGCATGTGCAACCTTTGGAATACCTTGTGAGTTAAGAGTGACTTCTGCTCACAAAGGGCCAGATGAAACTCTAAGGATCAAAGCAGAATATGAAGGTAAATGCCAAAGAACTCTTGCTGTGGACAGAAACAGTAATGTGCTGGAGCAATTTGGCCACTTAAGGATTTCTGGTAGTTTTTTTTTTCCTTTCTTTTAGCACCACAGTAAGCTGTTGCAATGCTGTTCTACACCTAATTACATAATTAGTCTATAGACCGCACTAAACAATTATGGAGTAATGTGTTGTCCAGCCACAGCTTCAATTACTCAAAGTCCAACCTCTGCATCTAGCCCACAATTGAGGTTCTCCCCCACTTCCCCAAGCCTTTACTACAGCATCTTGTTACTGATGCTGGCATTTCTGAAACAGGGAAGCATAATAGTTTCTCAAGCTGACTCTACTCCCCTTACTTACAAGAGAGGTTGCTGACATTGTCTTCCTACCTGTTTCACAAAAATAGGCTTACTCATTATTTTGGAATCCAAGAGAAAGACAGTGGCTATAAATTCATATTTATAATCAAGAAAACTTGACATCCTTTAGGAAAAACTTATAGCCTAACGGACGAGAGAAGAATACACTCTCTATTTTTGTTGGAGTATACTTTTTTACAGTGGAGAACTGGCAGATGGGGGTTAAAGAGGCAGTTAGTGAAACTACAGATGTGGTAGGCACAGTTTGAAGACACTTATTTTAGAGGTGAGTTGCTTGGTATTTTAGTGTGTGACTACTACACACTCTGGCATCTCTAAATGTTTCTCATCAAAAGCTGAGCAGCACCTATTCCTGACACTGAGACTTTCAACACAGGCAGAATAAGATGTGTTAACTTTGTAATTGTGTTAAACAGTAGCTGGAATTTAAAGCTGGTATTTAAAGCTGATAAACTCCCCGTTTATATCTGCAAAGGGGAAAGTTAGAAATTCAAATTCTACAGTATGCTATGTAACTTTAGAACCAAATAATTGCAAATAGAAGAACTGGGTGCTCAGATAAAGTTCCTACAAAAGCATATGGGAGAAGGAAAGATGACTTGCTTATCTATGTGTTTTTGTGTTCTAGGAGATGGAATCCCAACTGTATTTGTTGCAGTAGCTGGCAGAAGCAATGGTTTGGGACCAGTCATGTCTGGTAACACTGCTTACCCCGTTGTCAACTGTCCTCCACTCTCAGCTGACTGGGGTGCTCAGGATGTGTGGTCCTCCCTCAGACTACCCAGCGGTAATATGATCTCTAATTTAGCACATGTAGTGACCTAGCTCTGTCTTTGTTGTAGATACCCCTGCACATACGTACAGACACACACATGGCAAAACACTCTTTAGAACAGTAGCTAGATTAGTACAGAAAAACAGTTTTAGAAATCTCTTGCATGCAGTCTTTTGCCCTTTTGTAGTCAAGTTAACAGAGCAGAGATTACACATTCAGATTACAAACAATACTCTTCAGAAAGCTGTAGTCCTGTGCTTATCCTAGCTAAACACTCATCTGTGAAACTGGAATTGGTATTAATGGGCACATAAAATAACTGACTTTGTTCCTGCTTATAGAGATGCATTTTTACTATGATCAAAGATCAAGAAATACCTTCCTTGACAATGGGATTAGAGAAGAGCTTGACTAACTATTGTAGTAGTGCATTACTATCTGCATGAACTTAAGTTTTGCTAGCGACTAGAATGCCTGTTTGAGGACTCGGAGGCCCAGAATTTTGTTAGCTCTTTGTAACTGTGAACCTTCTGGTACGCTGTTTTTAGTTGAAAATGGCATGAAGCAGTCCTGTTAGGAGAGAAGTAATAACACATGTACCAGTGTGCCAGCTATAAAATTAGATTTTTATAGTGTTCAGTCCTAGGGCTACTGAGGGTTAAAACAATGCTTGTTTAAACTTGCTGGTTAGAAGCAGTTATTTTGTTTGCAACTACAAACCATGTTTTGGTGAGTGGCAATCTTCTTTCTTTGCAGGTCTTGGCTGTCCTACTACTCTGTCACCTGAAGGAGCTGCCCAGTTTGCTGCCCAGATATTTGGGTTAGGTAACCACTTGGTGTGGGCAAAACTGCGATCAAGCATGTTAAATACATGGATCTCACTGAAGCAGGCAGACAAAAAACTTAGAGAGTGCACCCTGTAAGTTAAGCTAATAACTCATACTAGTTACACAATGATAATGGTGTGCCTAGTTGCATTAGGATTTACACTTGGATGAGCTGAAAAATCCTGTATCCTTTCTTGTAGAAGAAAGTGTTGTTAGAACAGTTAACTCTGTGTCCTCATCTGTTGTTGTTTAAATAAAACAACAGAGTAAGAGATGAGGGAGTAGTATTTTCTTTCTGTTGCTCCAAAATGGTGCTGTTCTGCTTTTTAGTGCATACTGTTAACTGCAGTCTGTTTAATGTCAAGATAATGATTTGGTGTGATCTAAATAGACTTTCACTTGTTTTTAGTAACAGTACTATTCTTCTGTAGTAATAATGTAAGTCTTGAACATACTGACTGCTAACTAAAACCAATGTTTATGCTGTTTTGCTTGCAATGATGTTACGCTTTCTTTAGCAATAAAATGGCAACATATGCTATACCAATAGGAAAATAAGCTAGAATACCTGTTAAAATATTAAAATACCTGCCTTAAAAAAGAAAAAAAGCCTCTCACTATTTTCTGGAATGATGTGGTAAAAGCTAATGCCACTTTTCTTGTTCGTGACAGGCCATAAACCTGAATAGACTTGACTGAACTCCGACTAGGTTTGTTGCCTAGCTGCTCTGACTAATAAGCATTTGTTCTCTTAAATACCAGGCAGCTCTTATGTCGCTAGTTCTAAAGGACCCATGTTGTCAAACTACCTTCATGCACTCAACTAGCTGTTATGAATCTATGTTCCCTTACCCTTTTATTTCTAAGGAAACTTTACTGAACTGAAGGTGGGAATAAATAGTAAAACAGCAAAATACTAGGGGAAAAAATGTAAGCATGACTGTCTTGTCTTTGCACATACAGCTCGTCTGTTAAGTAGGTACTGATTCTAACAAATATGCAATTACTCAATGTATGTAACACTTGTACTTTACAGTTACAAAATAAACTATTGTATTCAAAGCTTCCTTACAGAGATTTACTGAACAAATACTCATACAAACTAAGCATCAGCTACAGTACATACATTTAAGGTGCTAAAGTTAAGTTGGGCTCAGACTCTTGTAAAAAAGCTTACCTGAACTAAGACTTCATAGGATGGTACTAAATTACTATCTTCTAGAAGATAGTCTACAGGTTGGTTATTTGTCTAACTATTATAGCAAGTTGTTACTTTCTTTGTAAAATTGTCTCTTTCTTACTATATGGTGGGTTGAGTTTACCCCCGAGTGAGGGTAACTGGACTAAATGCTGCTGCTGGCTTCTTCATTTATAGAAAGTTACACATATGATGTGGTTGTTTTATAGCAGACTTTTGTTTTAATGCAATTTTTTAAATCAGTCAAAACTTCCACTGAAGCAAAATAAAACTCTTTGGTCTTGAGGGATTTTTGCTTTTTACTGAGGTTTTTTTCCCCTCTTATTCCCTGTTCTTGCTGAACCAAAAGCCTGCTCTGAGCAAAACTAACTTTGACTTGTACTGTACCTATGTACTCCCACCACCAGTAAGCTAATGAAAAAGGACTTAAGGCAATAAAGAGATAATGCAATTCCTCACAAAGCCCACTGGAAGCCATAACTGTGCAATGTGAGCAGCTAAATGGCTGTGGAGGTTTCCTAAGATAAGTATAAATTCAGAATAGAGCATCTGATCAGCTGCTCCCTGTCACAGCTGTTCTAGCTAACCAGGACAGCACATTCCAAACAATCTGCTGTAAGCCAAACCAAGAGCAATTTAAGAGTACTAGTGAAAAGGTAACTGCTTCCAGTAATGTGAGATGAGAATACAGGTTACCGAGAACAGGTTACCTGCTCATTAATAGATCACAAGTTTAGATAGGAATAAATCATGTTTATGAAATCAATGATCCTGTTCAAATAAAGAGGCTTATGATAAACATCCAACTTTTAGAAGAAATACCACTACTCTTCAGGGCCAGCTAGTGATCAACAGTATAGCATTACTTATCCTTCAGAACAAAGAGGCTGAAATCATACTGTTTCTATGAAAGTACTGACTTAAAAATGAAAAATTTTCAGGCAGTGTTTTTGGCAAGCAAGTTACCAGGGTTTCACCGACCCACATATGTATGAGGCATACATTTGAAAATACGCTCAGTATGAACCAGTTCTCCTAACAACATAGCACCATTTGCCTGTAAACAGCAGAAAGAGAAATGCCAGAATAAGTGAACTTGTGCTCTTCCTTGGGTAAGTGAATTGGATCATCCTGTAATCAGACAAGCAGCAGAGCCAACAACTGGAAAGGATCAGTATACTACTTTCTCCTAGTGGCAGCATTCTGCTAACTCAAGTCAACTGTACAGCAACACATAACCTGATGGTGAAGTTAAAAAGGAGGGAGGTATCATTTCCTATTCATCCCCTCCCTCCCCAACATAACTACACTGGGTGTTGTCTCTGACAATTAATCAGCTTGACAGGAGCTCACTAGTGACCTCTTTTTGGTTTCTTTTTATCCCTCAGTGCTTTGTCACCATCTCTACACAGTCTTCCACCTCCACACTAGAGGTTATTAATAGACAATAATTTGTTTGTTACACCTCTTATAGTCTGTAGTTTCCCTAGTTATATTTCTAAGTTACTTGCATCCTAATTTACTTGCAAAATTGTGCCAAGTTATGTTTAGGCCTTAGCAAACTGAGTACTTCAGTTGCCATGGCAAAGGTCACTCTTCAGCTTTGAGTTATTTTTTTTTTTTCTTCTACCCTTCTTTGCACAGCTGTCTTGCAAAGGACACAAATTTAAAAGTGCTAAGACATAGCAACACACATTATTAATGCTGACTGCCATGATCAGCAAAAGAAACCTACAAATTGTCATATCTGCAATAACTTTATAAAATTGTCCAAAAGGCAGAAGTGCTGCATATCAGCTGTTTAGCTGTGTTTAACTGGAAGTTCTTCCTCAAAGCTTTTGCTATGAAAGGAAAACGCTTCCCCTCAGATCAGCGTTTGACCTATTACATTGAGGCAAAACCTGAGCATTCCTTCAGTCAGGAATTACTTATAGCACTTGTTTTTTGTCCAATTCTAAGAACTGTTCCTATAAATTCAAAAAAAAAAAAAGAGTGCTTTCATCTTCACAAAAAACTATTGGGTAGAGGGGTTAAATGAAGTCCTAGGAGAGGATGTGACTTAGTATTTTGGGGATGATATTAGTAAGACACTCCTCGTTTTTGAAGCTTTTCTTTCTAAAAAAACTTTAAGTAATTCCCTGTCAAAAAACACATGAACTCCCCCACTAGATGGGGCATTTGAATCTTTTATCACAGCCCTGGTGATTGCTTTAATAATATAACTTCACAATGGAATAGCATGAAAAGGAAATCCTGTTGCCTATTGCATTGTACTTCAATCACACCGCTGTAGTCACATAGTAGGCATTTTCAGAGCATACCTGCACAGTCAAACTTCCACAGGCTTCCATATAAGAATACTTATTTTCTGGGTTCAGATAAAAATGAAGCGCAAAACTTTTCTGAACAATCAAAACATGTGTCTGGATATGCACAAGAGGAGAACTGTAAAATTTCATAGAGGATTGATGCAAAAAAACTGAGCTTCCTGCAGAGCTTAAGCATCTTTAGAATTGGGTTGCAGTAAAAATCCCTATTTATTATAATATTTTCAGGCGTAACTGTTTGCATCCACTCCGACCCTCAGAATCCTTGCCCAGTTGCTACTGGATTTCAGAGGGAACAAAAGCCACTACGTTCATATTTTTGGTAATAAAATTCCCCTATCACTTAAGTGACTGCTGTTGGGCTTACGCAGAAACCTCTTAGGTCTTGACAAGGCAAAAGAGTTCATCTAAGCCTCATTAGAGTACACAAAGTTAGTATTACAGCCACATTACCAAAGCATACCTCTTCACTCAGAGCTACGATGAAAGAGAGACTGTATAGGTTAGAACAGTCACCCAGGCTGTAAGCAATTTAATCCCTTCTCTACTGCAAGAAAGGGACAAAACTCAAACTTTTGTCTTTCTTCTTAAAAGAATGCTTTAACCACCATAGGCATTTGGAGATCTGCGTGAAGAGATCTCAGTTTCACATTTTAGTGCTGTTTCCATTTGTTCCCTTAAGTAACTGCAGCCACAGTCAGACCACAGCAATGGTGCTTCTGCATCTAGAGCTTAGGGTTTCTGCCTTAAGAGTCTTATAACAGGCCTTAAATAAGGCCTGTTATCTTCTATAAAACTTTTTTGTGTGGAAATAATTACACTGATATTTCAAAGTCATAATCATATTGGGAGCTTTCTGAAGGACTTAATTCCATAAAGTATGCCCTGTTAATGTTTGGAATGCAAAGACAGACTTAGGAAACAACAAATCTTCTATCTTCTCCATGAAAGGCAAAGCTCAAAACTTCTGGAAGAAGGAGTTATGGTGTATTTGCATGCACTCCTAACAGACAGAACACAGTATAAAAAGAATCAGTTGTAATAGCTTTTCTCTCTCCTCCTTCCCACTGGCGGTGACATCTTGAGAGAAAAAAAAAAAAACAGCAAACAAGTTAAAAGCTCAACTTGATGCTTGATATTCTCAAGCATCTGTTCAAGTGTTTTCAAGGACAGAGCTTTTTACAGAAAGGAGTAAGTTGTCTTTTATAGGAATCCAAAACATTTAAGTACCCAAATTTAATCTAGCAGAGGGTAATAGGCTGAAACATCTGCTAAGCAGACGTTGACCAACCTATGAAAGCGGCTGGACTGTGGTACCCCAACAAGTAGCCCAGACTAAGGTTTGATGCAAGAAGAAAGACTTAAGGGAACATCAGAGGAAAGCAAGTCCACTTTGCCAAGTGCCTCTTCGTGCTTGAAAATCTCTTCTTTTAATCAGCACAAAGGTCTGACAGATCAGAAAGCTCTTGAATGCAATGAACCAATATTGGCCCAAATAGAGGATATAATTAAGGTCAGATGCCAAGCCCCACAGAAGTTCTGTCTGGACTGGAGAAACAGTTACTGCATTTGTCTTAATGCAGGACAGCCTTTGCCCCTCCCTATTTCAATAAGATAATAAACATTATCTTCATTTTCTGATGCATTTAAGCATCTAGTGAATGGCTAGTTTCCCAGTCCATATTCAGCTAGTTTTAAAAGTTATTCTAGTACAGGGCATTTTCTCTTACCTTTCTTACCTCCCTGACCTCCCTGAACCGTGCCCCCCACCTCACCTGCAAGTGTAAGGACTTCTTCACCAGCTTTTTTCCTCTCAATATTTAGAAACATCTTTTGGTCCTACCTAAAAAGAGACTCTGCCACACCCACATAAGAATGCTTGACAGCGTTTAAACTACTCCATTTTCACTACTGCTAGTGCTGCTATATTCTCATTTGTCCACTAATGCCTTCCCAGAAGAAACGTAATGTCAGATGAAGAAACATGATGTCAAAACTTCACACCTAGAAGGACTGAGGTTTCTGAATTTCAACCTCATTGGTTCTCACCCAGCACAGCAAGATATAACAAGACACATAATTTGGTAAGAGTAATTGAGGTAAGGATACTAAAGGTGAAACTAACCACAAACTAAAAATTTCAGCAAGACCTCTGGTCACAGGTTTTGCAAATCTGGGAAAAGGACCTTGCCAGAAAGATCTGCAAACATGCATGAGCTCTGCAAAGGTACATCTCAGTATAGCGACACCAATGTCTCATGCTGAAGTTTATGACCTTTCTTGTATTAGCACGCTTGCACATCCACTTTAGTCACATATACTAACTCTTGGCTGACATATATTTGCATCCTTATTATGTGTCAGAACTACAGAATTACTTTAAGAGCAGTTTTTCAAGTTTTTTTTTTCCAAGTTTTTCAATGTTTCATTTTTCTTTCATCTACTTGTCCAGAAGGACTATTTAAAGTATGTGTTAAAATTTCATACAGTAAGCCACAGAGTGATTTTTACTGCTTTGCAATAATCAAAACAGAACCATTGCTAAAAAAAAAGTTGCATTCTGGAAGCACAGAACTTTTACAGTTACAGCTGGAAGAAATCCAGCTTGAGATTAAAATACTCACGTTAGAATTCTTCAGTGATCTACAGCTTTGGTATGGTCTGGATAGCCTTGCCTTGTTGCTAGCAACAGTAGTTGTAACATGTTCTAAGCAGAGGTCAGTTCTTGGTTTCTGCAGCAACTAAGGGCTGAAGACACTGCTACCACCCATTTTCTGAGGTTTAGACTCCTTTCAAACTATGAGCATTAAGTTTGAAAGAGTGACAGAGGGACCACCACTTGTCCAGTCAACACAAACAGATGGTGTGAGAATCAGTTTAAAGGGTTCCCCTCATCCACATTATGCAAAGCTGGAAGACTGTAGTCAGAGATGCCATCAAGTGGCAGGGAGCAGAGAGGGGAACTGCATCCTTGTTAATACAAAAAGACCAGGCATAAACAAAACACATTTGGACATCTGAACGGTTGAAGAATCAAAGGAGAACAAGGGGAGGAAAAAAGTGAGCAGAACTGTAGATAGTAGAAAAATGGAGTGTGCTTTGTCATCATGCAGTTGAGAAACTGAAATGGAATGAGCCCGTGTCCACAGGGAGAACAGTGCATTTGCAGACTGCAGATACTTTAATCTAACTTACAGTACTCTGGACTGTCTGGACTCATCAATTGCAGACAAAGCTCATTTTTGTCTCGAGTCATTGACAGTACCTTGCATAGCCCTTGCCATTTCATCTTCTCTTTCTCAAGCCAGTTTTATGAAACAGTTACCACAGCCATAATGGTGTATAGCTCAACAAGGCAAGATTTTCAAGAAGAGACAAATAGATAGACTATCCTTTCCAACTACTGGAAAAGGCAAGCTAAACATATCCTCAAATTCATATTGAAGTCCTATTTGGAAAGTCATTTTGTTGCTTTCAAATACCAACTCATTAAAATCAGACCGTTCTGTTACCTACAAGCTCAATCAATATAGTTAAAGTATGTTCTAACAATGACACGACTTGGTTTCACAAGCAGTGTCCAAACAGGTTACTCAAGTATACATAGCACTGTGTATCTACGTCATGTCCATATGAAAATGTAAAATATGTATCAAAAAAAAGTACCTCACAATTCAAATACTATGTACAAAGTATAGCATGCTGTATCTCCAAGATATGTAATGGAACGTCTACGCCAACAGTCAGTCCAGTTTGCTGTACAGTTAGAATGCGACAAAACAAAGCGATGAAGTCTGGTCCACAAAACCAACACCTGAAGAATCCCAACTTAAGAGGGCTCTTTTCTCCCCATTCTTGATTTCATATCATTCCCAATAGCAGCTGCAATGATCATTTCTGTGGAATGGTTATTGGGCAGTAGTACTTGATCTTAATGCGGCATGTATTAATCACAGAAACTTTGGTTTTTAATTTGTTTGTTGTCTCTTAAGGCTTTTTAATTCCAGAGGCAGAACTTCTATATTCACAGGACCATCCCAGCCAACTGGCATTTCCTTATCTGTTCTTATAGTTTCCTGAGTTTATTTTAAAAAATGAAAATTGTTATTCTTTTTATTTATTCAAGTAGACTAGAGAATACTCCATTTCAAAATTAAAGCTCTTGCCAAGAAAGACATCTATCATAAGATTATTTGGACATTGCAAACGCCCTTTCTCTGCCAAGAAAATACAAAATCCTGTTACCTACACTACTAAGATCACGCTGATACTAAGCTTCTAAGGAAACTGTTAACATACTAAACCAAAAAAATAGAGGATCTTCTTTCTTCTCCCCCTATGCAACTAAAGCTTTCCAAACATTAACTCAGGACTTTGCTCATACCTTAAACAGTAAGGGGGAATTTTACCCCAAACAGCTCTAAAAATGATCCAAAGTTTGAACTGCCTGTAACATCTCAAGCCTTAGACTCCAGAATAGAACAAGTCAGAGCACCTGATTATCAAGCCTGTGAAACACTTAACCGTTCTGCAAGGACAGTTTCCCACAGGAGTTTTGCGAAATGTAAGCATCATACCTCAAACCATCTGAACTTAAACAAAGTAGAAACAAAAACAGGACACAGGCAACAAACTCGTCTGACCAATTATCAGTCAGAGACAGGTACTATAATCAGAAATGGATTATGCACGTGCCACTTAAATCATGAAGTGCCCACAACCCTTGATCTAGGTTCTAAACAACTGCTTCCGGCTTTACTTAAGATCCCAGAATAGGAGCATTTGGGAAATTAAAGTTATTTTTAGTTCCTGATAAAGTTAAAAATATTACAAACTTTTAGCTTTTATTGAAAATTAAATATATTAGCAAAAGCAAGATTTAAGAAATACTTTACAAATGATTTACATACAAGAAAGCCAGTATCAGACATATTCACAAATATGCAAACTTTCAGTTACAAAAAGTACCTACTGGCAGCATGATGCTAACCTTGCCACTGCAGTGTGCTCTACTATTGATATGAATAAGGCATAGAACTCACATTTGCACCAACTTAAAAAGTCCAAAGAAAACTTTAAGCTTTTAAATCCTGGATGCATAATCCCCAATACACACACACACACACACTCTAAGGTTTCTTCTTAAAAGCTCTATAAACTAAGTGTGTGCTCTGGAAGAACAGGCAGCTTGAAAAGCCCAGTAAAAATGTAACTGGAACTGACGTTTAGTTTTCAGTTTCCTCTTTAACATGTACAGGTCTAAGTATGTAAACCATATTCACAGTTTAAGTATTTTTAGACAGAAGTACCTCTTTTTTTTTTTTTTGCATCTGTTCCTTACAATTGGCTCTCAGTTCAGCATACAGTTCAAAGTGTCACCTGTTTTGTGAAACATACATTTACAAGATAACTTTAAAAAAAAATCTGTGCCATATTCATGGTCAAGACAATTTAACATGAGCAGTAATATCCAACAGTGACATTCAATACTATGTTTCAATTGTGCAAATAGCAACAGAACAGTTGTATGAGGCAAACTCATTTGCAAAACCTTTAATACCTCTTCAATGTTGTAAACTTGGACTGTCAGCCTTAAGTCCTGCACTTCGCACAGCTTTAAAAAGTCAGTGGCTAAAATTATCAAGTCTCCAAATGTTCTCTTCTACATAGTGCAAACTGTAACGTAGATAATGTGAAAAACTTATCTGGCTGGATTGACTTTGTGCAATTATCAGTGGTCTTCTCTTGTAGTTGAAGAAAATGTGCATTCAAGGAACCACATGGTTCAGGAAGTTGGGGGCGGGAAAAAAGCAGTTCCATATTACACTTCTCAAACCAGCGCTAGATGTGCAAAGGCAGCAAAAATTCCAGCTGCTACTACAACCAGAACAGAGTAACTTTTCAGGAAGACCCAGGCGGTTAGTCATTTGGACTGGTCTCTAGAAAAATATGTGAGTATATGCTGGATTTTTATCAGACGGTCTTTTAAGGACATCATAGAGAGAACTGAGAGTTGGTATCTGGGGTCTACTGGGAGAACAGCTAGAAGCCACCAACACCAAGCAGGACCGTTGGGCATTGCCTAAAAATAAAGGATAAGTTAGTCATTCACAACCAATACAGTCCAGTTGACTAACATGATAAAGATATCAAAGGACAAAGTTGTCAAAGAAATAAAGGTTAGTTTAAAGTTCGATATCAACTAGAGAATCCCAGATCCACAGGATCAGAAGGGATCATAAAGACCTCTTCTGATCCTTTCCTAACTTAGAAGTCAAAGTACACTTAAACAAAGCTTGATAAAAGCTTAGGTTGTGGGGGTGGGTGGGTATGCATGCTTTTTTTTTTTTTGGCCTTTTTTTAAAATAAGGACAACAAAGGAAGTGCACAGTTCTCTTAGGAAAGGATGGCTAAGCACAGGACAGTCATCTAATAACTAATCTTCCCGATACAAACTAAAGCCATTACTTGTTATGCTATGCTTGAGGCTTGAATATTGAAACCTAACAGTTTCTTTACAACGGCCCTTACCATATTTGAAGGCTACCACCTCTATCACCTACTCGTTCCACCCCCTTCTCAGTACTTCCTAGAAAGAGCAGGACTAGTAGATCAGTTCCTTCAAACTCTTAAGTTTATAAAACATGTTCTATAACTCTTTTCTGTACTTCACTCAATTCTTTACATCATGCCAGAAACGTGCTATGCAAAACTGGGCATAATACTCCTCTGCTGAGGTCATGTCACTGCAAAGCAGAGAGAGTATCTCCAAAGACTTGCAAAACCATTCTTGTTGATATGCTCCAGGATGACATTTCCTCCCTTTCATCTGTATTACATAGCTGATACATTTGTGTGTTCTGTTATAAATCTCAAATACACACCTGCAGTACTGCTGCCTAGCTAGTTATCCTATCTTTGTGTACTTACTCCTCCTTCCTAACCTATTGTTTTAACCTTATTCTTGATTTTTATTAGAGAAGCGTTCTGAAATCACTTCTGAATTCGTATGCTGGCTGCCTCCTCACGTGGAAGCCTCCAAAGCACCTGCAGTCCTCCCAGATCAGTTAATACAGCCTCTTAAAAATACGTAGCAGACCGGATGAGAGAGACACTTTCACAGGATCCTACTTTGTATACATCTTCCACTTTGAAAGTTAACTTATTAGTGACTGAAAAGACTTTTTAAATCTTGTTTCCATATGTCCTGACAACTTCACCTAAGCTTTATCTCCTTGGCAATATATTATATCAGCCACTTCCTTTCATCTACCCAGAAGAAAGTAAAATTGATAACTGAAAAATAAGTAATGCCAAATTAGCACAGGCTGTTACCACCATGTTATCTTCCTGATGTCTGCAAAGTGATTAGCTAGTTCCAATGTATTTTCAGTGAACATAAATACGATTTCTCATTTATGAACCTCCAGGTTCTCCTTTGTGCTCCCTTTTTAAGTGGGGCTCCATATATGTTATCTTTCTCCAGCCTCCGTTCTCCCAGGATTTTCACCATTCTTCACTAATTGCTTACAATAACCTTTAATGAATTGCTTCAGACAATTCCTTAAGTTTAAGGTAAATATTTGTCAAATCCTAACAGCCGTAGCAGTTCATGACACTCGTCTGGGAGGGAGAAAAAGACTTATTTGCAATCACCTCTTTGCCACAGATTACTGCCTACACATATCACATGGGAGAAAATACTGAAGCATCCTTCAGCTTTTTCCATTTCAATTCTAATGGCTTTACACAAACCAATAGTTTAAAATACTACTGATACTCAAACTGTTCTCAGTTTACTAGCTTTATCTACACAGACACATAACATCCTTGCTTACAGAGACTGTTGAACAGTAACAGAATTGCCTTTTGTTGCTCCTCATGAGAGCTGGCTTGAGCAGAAACATGATGTAGCCCTACTTCTTTAAAGTTAGGAGGAAAGCTATTTTTAAGCAGTTAGCAAGATTTTTATTTTTAGAAATAAGCAATTAATGTGATAGTAAATGATGCCTCACCTGTATATTTTCCTCCCTGTCAGGCATTGGCCCGAAGTGTTGAAGAATTTGAGTGCGAAATTTGTTTCTTAAATTTTGAAACCAACTACAGGCCTGATTGTACACAAAATTGTGAAGTTCTCTGAGTTTCTTTAGCTCTTCCTCATCAGCAACCTAAAGGAGGAACGTTAAGAGTACATTATGGATAAAGAAAGAAACAATTACTAAAAGGTTTAAGCTGAAAACAAAACAAAAAAACCCATACCACATTTCACTTCAACTCTTAACCTAAGTTTCCTGCATTCTTCTCAGCCTTAATTGCTAATGACTGGACAGTGAAGAAGCCCCATGATATTAACCAAAAAAAACCCCTTCACTTTAAACATGAAGGTATTTGGTTTAAGGCAGTAAAAACAAGTGAGGTGTATAAACACATGCGGAGTTCCTGCTTTACAAACATCATACGTATAAAACATTAACCAAAGAATTTGTAATGATATCTCCATGGCTGTGAAACTCAAAATATTGAGTGGGGTTTTTTTCCTAATATATTATATTAGAGATATCAAAGCAGTTACAGCTGCACGAACTACCGCTCAAATAGATTTGCCTATTTAAACAAGCAAAATGAAACAATAAGCATAGTATTTCTGGTTTTATTATGTCATAATAATAAAAAAAACTAAGTTAATTTCCATTTCTTCCACATGTTCAGACCCTATCTTTCAGAGGTCTGGGTACCTAAACATTCGAAACAGTGCTCAAAAACAAATCAAGCATAAATCTTCAGATATTAACTAACACTAGTATTTGGGAAGCATTCTGGATACCTTAACATCTTCCAAATATTCAATGTCTGCAGTGCAATAACCATCTTTCATCCCTCTTTGTAAAACTCTAAATCTCTTTCCACCAACTGTATCAACAACGGACCGTCCATCAGGCAGAAAATGAACATTCCTAATTTGCAGCATGCATCCATAGTCTGCAAAACTAGAGAAGAGACATTGTCAGTAATGCAACTACACACTCGTGTGAGGGCACTTATTTTAAAATTAAAAGAAACTGAACAGAGCAGGAGCAGGATATGAGCATATAAACCTACCCATTTTGAGAATCACTTATACACATCCCAAACTGTTTAGTCCCAGTTTCCATACTTCTGCGAATCATTAGTCGGTATCTTGGCTCAAACACATGTAGAGGGCAAGGCACAGTCGGATATGCCATAGTGCAAACAAACATTGGAACATTCTTGGTCAAGCTTCAAAAAACAAAACAAAATGAAAAAAAAAAGTGACTTAAATCTGATCACTGAACTATACCAAGACGGTACATTTTTGCATTACGTTTATTAAGTCTAAGGTCATAAAGCATCTGCACCAAAGAGTAATAAGCAGCACATTATAATAAGTCTCAGAAACAATAAAAACACATATGAACAGTGACTGTGAACACCTAGGTACTGATTTGAACACATAACGGATAGTAACTCTTATTAGAGTTACCTAGTCATTGAATGACTGTTAGGGATTTTTGTTTTATTTTAATTTGATGCACATAAGTCATTACAGGAATTCATTATGTGCTCAGATGCACTATTTTCCTGAAATTAAAAATGCAGTAGTAACTACACAGTAACTAAGTCATCACTTGGATTTTTTTCAAGGATGGACTCCAGATCAGGAGATGCAAGTCAGGGTATGTTTTTCACTTTGCAAATGTCTTGGGTGAGGCCAGTTAACTGAAAAATGAAATGGATTTTCTCCAAGCTTTTTTTTTATCGAGTATGCACAGTTGACAGTAGCAAATCCCACACAAACAAGTTAGCATTAAAACATTACCAGGTATTTGATTTTACTGCCTTTCAAACTATAAAAAGATCGTTTTAATGTGTGGATTCTGCTGTGTAAATTGCATGAACTGTAGTTTAAACAATTTTCCAGCATTCATACCTACATACATGACACTTTAGATATCTAAAGAGATCTATTAGAGATAAATATTACAAAAAAAAAAAAGATGTATTTCTCTTCATGAAACCTTTCCTCATAATATTAATGTCTTATCACAAACTGTTTTGAAAGAAATTCAAGTATCAGAAACTGCAGCCAATTCAAGAAGACACTTCCATTAACAGCAGCAAGGCTAAAACTGAAGCCCTATGGAAGTGCACACGCAAAAAAAGAAATGAAAGGGCACAAATATTTTATAGAGAACTTATGAGCCTCATATTGCTACTATCAAAATGGGAATTTTTATTTTAGAACTAAATAAAAACGTGTTCATTTTCTGAAATGCACATTAAGACACCAAATTAACACAGGTCTTTATATGCCTTCATAAGTCTGCAATATGCCATTATTAACTACAAAAACAATAAAACATTTCTAAAAATGATTTCCACACTAATCTCTCAAGTTTTCTACATAAAAGACAGCAAGCTTACTTTGAGTGTTCAGCAGTTTCTTCAGCATGAATTCTTTTTCTTTCATATAACTCATCAGACAGATATTTTATTATCAATTCTTCCAGCAGTTCTGTGATACTGTATTTCCTGCTTGCTAGGTACTAGAAGCAATGTTTTAAAAATGTATTAATATTTATTTTCTTATATAGAAACACAAAATTTGAGAAAAATGTAGCTTTTAATTAGAACAACGATACATGAAGTATGTTCTAACGAGAGCTTTAAATCCATGAAAAGCTACAGCACTGAAGTTCTTACGTTTCACTACTTAACACCTAACGTTACTCTAATATTTGAAAATTCTCCGTTTTTGTTCTTAAAGAGTCTGACAACTCCCGTATCTAATAAAGTTTTTCTAATAAGCACACAAATACAACTCATTTCCCAGATTCCATAGCCACAAAAAAAAAGGAAGTCTACAGAAATTATCAGGGGAGTCTTAATAAACAGGTAAGAAAGTTGCAAACACCTAAAATGTAGTCACCTCAACAAAGCAGAAGATCCCTGAAACACAAAACCTTTAAAGATCTTGAGGCAAATCTAATCAACTTGTATTGACAAAATTTGCCTCAAGTTTTTCTTTTAACGGTAATACACGACTCAAGTGAATCCAAGTGAAACAGCCAATAAGGTAGTTGTCTTTAGAAGTTCCACTGAGAAACAGTACCTCTTTTAAACTCTCCTTACAGAGTGGACACTGAGGAGCATGGTCCAAACACCGTTCCAAGCAACCTTTGCAAAAAGTATGTCCGCAAGGGGTTGTCACTGGCTCAAAGAACAGCCTGAAACAAAGTTGTTAAAAATGAGGTAACGCGACAAGCCGAAGGTCAGTGATCAACCTCATCAAATCTTTAAGATTTAATAAGAAATTGCTTAAGAAAGAAAATTAACCCATGTCCCTTCCTGCTAGTTTTTCCCTCTACTACAGTTTGCTTCCATTTAACACTGCTCCCCCATTTTTTTGGGCTTTCTAATCAATCTGAACACATTTCAGCATTCCAGATATTCAACTATTTATCCCAACTACATGAAGATTCAGAATACACAAAATTAAGTGATTCTTTAACAAGCTAAGTTGTTGTAATAGTTATGGAAATGGTATGTTTATTGCTATGTCCAATTTAGTATACATAAAATATTTTAAGACATTTATTCTGCAAATCAAGAAAACTCAATAAGAGCTCTCAAAAACGTCAACTACAGTCAAGCAGACTGACCTTTTGAAGTATCTAAGTTTTCTAGACAGCTTTCAGATTCACAGGCAATTTATCTAAGCATTAGCCTTCCCAAAATAAAAAGTTAAGTAGTGTTATCAACTGAACCAAGACTAATATTTAACTGCAAAAGATATTATCCCTCTTGTGCTGCCAGTTAACACTACAAGATTTTAACTTAAAAGGCAACTTGATTAAAATGCTGCATTATGCAGCACTATAGCAAGTGACACCTTTAAATAATCACTTAACTACTGGGATAGAGGAAGGCCGAAAATTATTCCTAACCGACATTAGGACTCATCACAACCCATAAATGCCTCAGTTTACATATGTAAAAGATATGTGGAAGCATCTATAGTTAAAATACTGAATCAAGGAGAACATATTACCTCATACACAGAGAGCACTCAAAATCTGACACATCAATCAGATTCCCTGGAATTGTTCCATAAGCCTGTGTTGTGTCCCTTTTTGTATTTTCTGAGGAAAAGGGAGACAAAAATATTACTTCAAAGAAAGGTAGAACATAATAACTATTTTAAATTTCAAATTATATGACTGTTTACCTCCTTGCTTTTTGTGTTTATTTCTTCCATCTTCAAATACAACTGTATCCTGCTCTGAAAAGGAAAGCTTTCTTTTCAACAAAGCGCCTTTTTCTTGGCCAGAAAGAAGGGGTTCAGAAGACACTCTCTTTAAGCCATCTTCCTTGGCAAGGTCTTTTGTTGAGTTAAGAGCATGGGCAGATTGTGCACGATTTAGGCTTCCACTGACAGGCTGCAGTATTGCTGATCCTCCTAAACTCTGTA